TTCCCCTGAAAACACCGTACTGGTATTTCGTGGTGATAAGACTCAGCTCAGTCGTGACCTGTAACCAGAGAGGAGGGAGCACAGAAGTTCACAACTACCTATGTGGAGCGGGGAGGCATCACCACTAAACCTGTGTGCAAGGGTGGGCATGTGCACGTCTTCACGTGGGGTCTTTTTTCAACTGGTTCCTGAGAACTCACCAGTGTTGTGGATGAGACCTGCCTTTAGAGTGACCTTCTCAACCCAGCATGATCCAGCTCACAGAGCATGTGCTGGCTACATCAGGACACCCCCAAATTAGCTTTCGCAACTGCTTCCTCAGTGTTTGATTTGAGCAGCATGAGTCAACAGAGTCTAACATCATTATGTCCTTCAGTTGTGCTGGCAGGAGGAAAAAATTATGGTCCAGCTCACCAATCGTATTAAGGAGAGTAACTGCTACTGGTAATAAAGGAGATGGGGACCTCGGGAAGAATTCGGCAAGCCAAAGGAATTCGCAGATCTGCATTTTTTTGCTGATACATTTCAGGCAACTATTTTCATACATTAATCTACAAGCCTTTATTTGAGTTTCATAGATTTGTGTTGATTTGCTTTGTCTTTTCATCGATACCTGATTGCCTAAGGAACTGTTTCTGAAAGCTGGGCATAGCTGTATTTAGTACTGATATAATGCCATCCCAGTAAGTGTAAATGGCATTGTAGAGATAAGTTAAAACAGCAAGTCTTTGCTCTAAAAAGCTTAAAAATAACAAGCTAGCTCTACTTTACTGCACTGACTTGATGGGGGCAGATTTTGGCCTTAGATTAGACAAAGCATAGCTCAGAACAAACATACGTACAGGAAGGACTAAAGCAGTTCCCAGTCACCTTTCAAATTCACATCTGTTTAGTAGAAGACTTCTTGTTCTAGGTTAGTACGCAACACAACATGAAGCTTGGTCTTTGCCTGTTATTTATTTTTAGTGAGTGATGGGAAAAGTGAGACTAGCAGACATCATGCAACCTGACAACACAAATAAGCCCCTGAGAAAACCAAAGCTGGCAAACAAACAGCCATGTACAGCATAAACACAAATTCTTCAGGAAAATGCAGGTTTTATAAGGACAGGGCTTTTAACACCCTGAACTCACAGACATACTTTCATTTACTGTGGGTTAGAGAATTTTGCACAAAGTCTCTGGCAAAGCCATAGCTTTGGAAGAACCAGACTTGTACTAGAGACATCATAAAGCCAGACAGCAGAAGCTCAGATGATTTATAATTTCACAGCAACAAGCAAAATCAGATTTTATGAATATAAATAACTGGTTTTCTTATTTACTATTATTTCTAATAACTGTTATTAGAAATAATATTTCCTATTAAAGGATAATGAAATTCACAGACTGCCACATGGATGAAGTTACAAATCTTTTCAAAAACACTCATGCGAAATCTGCACAAGTTCAGTGATGGTTAATGGTTCAGGAGGATCCCCAAAGGAACATGCCAGAATTCTCCTGCACAAGACAGTACAAAGTGGGACTGCAGAGCTGAAAGCTGTAGGAAAACAGAAGCTGAGTCGTCCTCTATGTGTGAGGGCTGCAGCTACAGAAAATACGTTTCCTTTCTTCTTTCAGGTCCCAGTTCCCATGTCAAGTCATGTGCTCAGGGCAGGACCTGAGAGTTAAAGTCAGTAAGTTGCCCTTTTGTTTGACTTTATTTTCAGGCTGCTGTGAAAGGATGTAATTTACAGCAAAGTTCAGACTACCTTTTGCTAATATTTTTAGTAATGGTGGAACAGCCTCACTAGAAAGAACATCACAAGTTTTTTATAAGTATTTTAAAATGCCAAAGGATGAGTTTTTTAGCCATAAAAACACTTGATGTTTGAACTGAGATTCTCTCCCAAGCTGTTGCATACTACCAAAACTAAGGGATGGCCTTTACAAGGAGAGAAGCAATTTAGGACATTAAAATGTACCTTTAGTTGTCAGACATTTCTACCTGCCCCCACCATGCAATACACCATTTGCACTTCCCATATTATAATAAAAATTGTGTATATTGAGGTATTTAATAGGTAATCATACAGGAGAAAATATTTACTCCAGTAGCAGACTGGCAGCTTTCTCAGCAAGTTTCACAGACACAGAAATGGAGAGCCATGAAAGAGGGTGTTTTGCTTTCATGTAAAAGGTCATCAAATGCTCTGTTCAGTATCTCACTGGGAGTTTATTTATCATCACCCTAGCATATCCCAAACCAGGAGTTGCTGAAGACACAGCTGATAAAATGTCAGCCAGGGACCCTTCCAGGCATGAGCAGGCAGAAATTAGAGTGAGACACACACCCCATCAGCTAGAATCTGGACAAGGGACAGACTGAGAACTCAGGGAGTTTAGAGATTAAAAATATGCCAAGACTTCATTGTCCTTCTATCCCATCAGAGCCAACAGTTCTGAATTTGGCCACCAAATTTGCCTCTCTAGTCACATTGGCCATGTTGACCTGTTTTCCATTATTTGCCCACTGCCCAGGTCCCTGCATACACAGACAGGACCTACAAGACAGACTGTTGTTTTCCCTGATCCTAATCAGCAGAAATGCTGTGGCTATGACTAAGCCTTATATTTCACATATAGGAAATGCATCTCCCATATCCTTACAGCTGCCTGTGCATCTGTGCGGGACTTTTCCATTATAGGCAAACATTTCTTGCGAGAAGAACTCAGCTGAGGAACAAATAACACTGCATGCATGATGTTGGCTTTAGTGTTTGGTAACCAAAGAAAATTGCTAGCACAATCTGTATGTATTGCATGCTTTCAGAGTCAGATGAGATGCTTTTGTGAGCCTGATCCTTCATACAAGCAAAGTGCAGGATGGTGTAACCAGGCAGTACTTTAATTCCCAGGACCCAAATCACTGTCTGAGCACTTCTGAACTTTTTCTGGAATTCAAATGCAAATCTAAATTGTAGCTTTCGCTTCTAACTTCCCACCAGGCCACAGTAAAACCCCAGATCTGAACAACATTAAACCTTAGTACATCCGGGTATGCTTCATCCATCCTGGCACTACAGAATTAGCACAACAGGATTCACTGTATTTCTGAGTGAGACTTCACAAGATTTGCTCTCTGTGGCACTCGAGGCTGAACTTTTTGGCATGCCCAAAACTAAGAGCAACAGGAGGGCTAAAGGACTCCGATGCTTGAACAGACCTGCATCTTGCTGGTGTCTGCCTCCAGTAAGCTAAAGCCAGAGTGCAGCCCCACACCTTAAGAGATTCATTGGTAAACTAAGTAGAATTCAATTTCTGTTGGATCTTATTATGTTAAAGCAATCCTAAATGACCTGAAATTTTTCAAACATTGTTTTTTCATCCTTAATTTTCAAACAGATAACGACATTAGAGAGACGATATGATACTTCAAGTGAAGTGAACCAGGAGACAGAACATACAAAGAACTTCTTTCCTCCTCTGCACTGGTGGAATTTGGCTCACTCCTGCAAATCATGCAGAGTCAATTAGATATGCAAATACACATACTCAAAGTTTGCATTTGCATTGCCATGCTTCTATTCATAGCCATGGCAATCACATATTCTGGTGACCAGTTAGGTTTTGAGTTGGCTCATTGCACATAAAATCTCAGAAACTGTCACAGAAAACAAAGCGTGCATTTTTGTGTATGTGGACATGGGCATGCAAATCCGAAAGTCTGTGTCTGTATGACCTGCGAGTGTCTGTATGTTTGACTAGCTTGCAAGACTCGCTATGTCTCTGCCATCTACATCCATGCTTACTTTACCTATAAGCCTACAGTTTGAATTGCAGGAATATTTAGGATTTTGTGAATGCACAGGGAAAGCATCGCTGGTGCAACCATGTATCTCTTCCAGCATGCAAAATCTCCTATCTGCAATGGCAAACGCAGTAGCCCACAGGCTGAGGCTACAAAATTTTAGTGTGTTTTGCAATTCCCATTAATTATTTTGCAGCCTTTTCTTTAAATATTTACTGTGAAGTCTAGGGACATTCATATTTCTTATATCCGTATGTCCAGACAGCACAAAAGATTTTTAAAAAATGTCCACAGTTTTGTTACATTTCACTTTAGTCTAGAAATGCAGAGAGCTCATGTTTAGATTTTTATCAAGAAAAGAGATAGCAAATGTCAAACAAAGATAGTACCTGAAAGGAAATAAAACAAATAATTCAAAATACTTGCTTAAAAAGTTACAAAATATGACAGCATTAATGGCACTTAAAGCTATAAGCACTTAAAAGATTACCACCATATTTTTTCTCAACTTCTTTTTCCTAAATTTATTTTTTCTTTTTTTTTCTGATATTATGACTGCAGCTTATGTCTAAACCCAAACCCAGCAAAAAGGGGCAGAGAGCCCTGAGATTCTGTAGTTGCCTTGGCCCTCATTTGAATAGCGTATATGCTCTTATGTCTATTTTTAAAAATTCAGATTCAGCTACAGAGAACAGCAGTTTGCTGACATGCAAAAGCTTTAGCTTTCCTTCTGTCTTCATAGTCTTACAGCATTAAAATTGAAGGGGTTTTTTCAGTGGCAGAAAGTGTGAATGAGAAATTCTTTTAAAAACAGTTGGCCCACTGTTTTATACACCTAGCCAAATATCATGAAATTAATGTTTCTCTTCTTTTAAACAACATAGCATGAGATGTTGCATTTTCTTCATATGCACTTTCTTGCTGTGACTTTCATTGAATATTTCCTACACGAGAAAAAAATCCACTTGTTTCTTTTCCTTTCTTTTATCACTGGTTAGGATAAATACCCACAGAGTTTTTTCTTTTTTTTTTTTTTTTGTTAATGAAAAAAGCAATCCGACCCTTAAATATGTCTGTGTTGATTTTTCAAACCAGCACCCAGCTGGTGGCTGTGTCTATTGACATTCTTCTGGAGTTAGAAAGATAATGCATCTGATTCAGAAATGGAAAAAAAAAAAAAATCTAGCTTGGATCACGTGCCAAAACGTAAACTAAGCTTTACTGAAAGTTTCTAGTTCACTCCAATAATTTCTCCTCTTTTTAATCACCAGGGGAAGGCTTTATGGATGCATACTCCATTACAAAGATACTCTCTTTTTCATCCCTTTGAAAGGCTCTTCTTACATAGCTGCCCTTTGTCTAATATTATGCCATGGTAGTAGCACTCTGGTGATATTGCCATGGTTCAATCTCTTCCTTTGTGTCTTGCCCTGGTAATCTTATACAGGCTGAAATTTCCATGTGCGTAGCTTTCTGTTGCCATTCTGCAGTGCTGTGTTCCTGATTTGTTTTGGCAGAGCAAGCTTGAGTCTTTATGGCACAGTGAAATATTCTTCGATGCTATATAATTCAGACTGAATAAGGAGTCTGTATAAGGCACGTGTCTCAATATATATATGTATATAAAAACACTAACATTGTTAATTCAAGTCAAGCATCTTTTACATTTAATTTCTGTCTTCAAGTAACGCATTGTTTTCATGTTCCCTTTCTTTGGTTTCATTGGGGATCACTCCATTCTCCAGGTCTGAGTGCTGCTGAATGCAGTTGGTCAGGACTGCAGTGCTAGAAGAGTTCTCAGAATTACACATCTTCTCCGTCTCCTCTTCCTTTTTTTCTTCATCCAAGGAGTAGTTTCGGAAGGTCTCATAAATTTTACGCACATCCTCGGGGATGGTCTTTTTGAGGTCCTTGTTTTTCCTTTTAGTCATTTTAGCAGACGATCCAAACTTGTTAATGATGTTGTCCTCGGATGCCCCCTGCCCGTGCTTGTTGAGCTGATCTGACCCTTTAAGGCGCAGGTTGTTAGGCCTGTTGTTGATGCTTTCCTGAGATGAGGCCTTGAAGCGTCCTGTTTCCAAGGCAGTAAAGACAGAGCGCTTCTCTGGAGAGAGCATGTCTAAGGAATGGGCTCGCTGGTCCAGGCCCAGGCGCCTGCGCTCCATGCTCCGGATGGTGGCTGCCCGCTGAAGTTTGTCATGGATCTCCACACTGAGCCGCCTCCGTGTCTCTCTGAACTCAGCCGTGACGTTCGCTTTCCACTCTGCTGCGTGGGCTTTTATTTCTCCAACCTTTACAACAATAAGAAAGAGAAATGAATAATAAAAAAAAAAAGAAATAGCAAAATGAAGTCTTTCCTATAGAGCTGCAACACAAGCGCTTTCTTCTCTGACATAAAATTGGAGAATGGTCCCAGCTCCAGCGCATCCATCTGGACCCAAACTTCAGCCGCAAAGTGTTTATACTGGGTGAGCTCTAAACACACCAACTAGTGACTAGCTAATGGCTTATGTGGCATACAACTTGTCTGCCTGTTTCACATTTTGCCACCCCACACATTTTATAGCTGTGTTACATGTTGGAAGGTGTTCATGCTAATCCCTCCCTACCTGTCAGCGGTAGATGGGCACGAGTGAGCAAAATTAATCACATATAGTTACACCAATACGCTTCAGAATAGCACAACAACCAGTGTGGCAATACAGTAATGTATTTTACCATATTATAAAATCATAGAATGGTTTAGGTTGGAAGGGACCTTAAACATTATCTAGTGCCAAATGCCCTGCGATGGGCAGGGACACCTCCCATTAGACCAGGTTGCTCAAAGCCCCATCCAGCCTGGCCTTGAACACCTCCAGGGATGGGGCATCCACAGCTTCTCTGGGCAACCTGTTCCAGTGCCTCACCACCCTCAGAGTGAAAAATTTCTTCCTGATACCTAATCTAAATCTAGCCTCTTCCAGTTTGAAGCCATTAGCCCTCATCCTATCACTACATGCCCTTGTGAAATGTCCCTCTCCATCCTTCTTGTAGGCCCCCTTCAGATACTGGAAAGCTGCTATAAGGTCTCCCTGGAGCCTTCTCCTCTCCAGGATGAACAACTCCAACTCTTTCAGCCTATCTTCATAGAAGTGCTCCAGCCCTCTTACTATCTTTGTGCCCCCCCTCTGGACCCGCAAGAACAGGTCCATGTTCTTCTTGTGCTGAGGATTCCAAAGCTGGACACAGTACTCCAGGTGGGGTCTCACAAGAACGGAGTAGAAGGGGAGAATCCCCTCCCTCAACCTGCTGGCCATGCTTCTTTTGATGAAGCCCAGGATGTGGTTGGCCTTCTTGGCTGCAAGCACTCATTGCTGGCTTCTCATCAATCAACACCCCCAAGTCCTTCTCCTCAGGGCTGCTCTCAATCCATTCTCCACCCAGCCTGTATTTGTGCTTGGGATTGCCCTGACTCACATGCAGGACCTTGCACTTGGCCTTGCTGAACTTCATGAGGTTGGCATAGGCCCACACCTCAAGCCCGTCCAGGTCCCTCTGGATGGCATCCCTTCCCTCCAGTGTGTCGACCACTCCACACAGCTTGGTACTGTCAGCAAACCTGCTGAGGGTGCAGTCAGTCCCACTGTCCATGTCACTGACAAAGATGTTAAATGGCACCGGTCCCAGTACTGACCCTTGTACTGCTCGTGGATGGAGCTGTTCAGTCCCACTGAAGGTTCTGTTCAGTGCCACACAGCCACAGAGCAATTAATGTTAATGTTAATACCTCTTAGATAATTTCAAGTGGACCTCTGACTGATCCAGTCTAGAGTTCATTCTCAGGGACAAATGTAGCTGTCTTTCATGGAGGTTTCCATTGCATAACTGTCCAAATACCACCCTCTCAAGCCAGCTGGAGGAGTTTTCAACACATATTCTGAGTACGCACCATGTGCACGTCCTTAAATGTGTCACTACTTTGCTCTGGTTTATTCCTTTGCACCTGAGAACAGAATAATGGCTAAGAATAAAGCACCAACATGGCTGCTGTACTGAATAAATATTTCTTCTGAAATGAGAAAAAAGAAGAAAAATGACCAAGCAATATCTCAGTCAACACAAGCCTTTTCCAAAGATCAGCTAAAGGAGAACAGATTCAGGCGTACGATGTCTGCAGGAGCCTACCAAGGTCAGTGCTTTGCTTGGGCTGCTGTAGCCAGAACTCTGTTTCTGCATTCAGTGGTCCACAAGGAAGTCATCTTTGGTTCCTCAGGCCAGATGACCAGGTGTCCATTTAGAACTGTTTTACTTGTGCCAGCAGGTATCTCATATCCACCACGAGAGATCAGATTTGCACCTATAGGTGCCTGCTGATGATAAACCTGACAGCCACACTCTCTGTGATGCCCCCTTTATTAATGGAGATGTACAGGGGACGCGTCGGGCCACAGGTGCCTTCACAGCGCAGATGCCTTCACAAATGATAAATAGCACTACCTGTCTGCCAAACTTTGTCTATGCCTGCTCTCTGACTAACCCTGGCAAGTTAGCTTTGCTAGTAATACAGGAGGAGATTGTCTTAAAAATCAAAATTATATTATTAACATCCTACACAACAGGCTTCAGTTCTAGAGTCATGGCAATTGCCTTCCATTTTCCACCCTTATTTGAGTGAAGCTTTAGCAATACTGTCTTTGAATCATGAGGGGCATGTTCTGAGTGAATTTAATCATGTTCTCCCTGATGCTTACTACTCAGTTTCTTCAAATTTTAATAATATGGTACTCAGTGAGGGGCTTGAATCTAAACCTTTATTCAGAACCATAATCCCTGGCATAGGGAAAGGTGGGAAAAGTCAATATAAAACCCTGGTTTAAAAGCAGATTCTTGTTTCATAATGAAGAGACCCAGCTAATGTCTTCAAACCCTATGCATCTCCGATTTTTAAAGAGAGAACACTGAAATTTTTATCACAATTTTGTAGCTAGTTTCAGAGTGATTGGCTGGCCTCTCATTCCATAACTGCAATCCTAGTGATGTGTTCTGTCTATTTGGTAGTACTCATAGAGGTGTAATAACCTAGGTTGCTTCAGTTGTTTTTTTCCCTCCCCTTGTGAAGGAGCTAAAGATCAGAAGTAACTGGATACCAAAGGCAGCCATGGGAGTAAACCATGGGGAATATTGAGCATTGTTCATGCAGAGGAGCATCCTTTTTCAGACAAGCAGGGATCGGGCACTTTAAGTTCTCTTATAAAATGACAAACCACTAAGAAATTACTAGTCATACCTCTTCTTTTGTCTTCTTGGACAGGACTCTTAACCAGTCTCCAATCATACTCAGGACAGCAGCAAAATAGGCAAGGCCAACAAGGATCCAGAACCACACTAAGGGCTTATACCACTCCCGGTAATGGATGTCAGCATTTCCACCTGAAATAAGCATATACTTATGCTTAGGAATCATGAGATGCCAAAATTATGACAAAATATCTGCAATTCTGAGAAATTCCCGGACGTGTTTCTTGACTCTTGCCAACACCACTGTAGTTCTAATATTAGATGAGAGGCCCGTCAGATGGGAGGAACACAATCTCTTAATTTAAGACTCTTCAAAATTATGTATTGTTCTGCTGCTATGTCACCTGCCAGAGCACCTAGTAAACACTTTTCTTTATATTGCTCATACTCTGAAGCAAGTCTGAAACTACTGCTTTGATAGTATTTGCAACAGCATGAACACATTTCCAAGAAAAACATTTAATACAGCTAGTCTTCCTTATTCTGAACTGCCTGCAGTCTGGTAGTTGAGAAACTTTACAGTTCAACCCCCTCAGGTTATCGAGTTTCCAGATTTTTTTGGTTTTAGCTACAGGATTGAGAGATCTATGTGCAGGAGAAAGAAAAGTAGCTTTGTCTTCCCCTCCAAATCAGGATATCTGATAGGAAGCCAAGTGTGCACCAGCCCTGATAATAAGGATGTACTGTCTGCTTGGGTATCAGTTATAGGGCTGCATTCTCTGGCCAGTGACTTGAGAGGAAATATGGATCAAATGAAGCAACAAATATCCTATATAGTTTTCATGCAAGTCTCAGGATGAGCTGGCAAAACAAGCATGTGAGACATTTGGCAAATCTAATGGACTACAAAGACCATAAAATCAGTGCAGTAACAGCCAGGCTGCTGCCTACCACTGAATAGAATACAGTTTTTCAAAAGAAAGCAACCACAACCTCATTGAGACTCCCAGTCCCATCACAGTGCGATGTGCACTGCAAGAAAGAGAGCCAGTGAGACGCAGGCGCTGCCCTGAGCTGAAGACAGCGAGCAGCAAGGACCCTGTAGAGCCCCATGGGCACAGCCATACCCCGGAATGCAGCTGAACAAACACGACCTTGGTGGTACCTGTGTAAATCTTTGCCTGAAGAGCAAGACTACCAGGGGACAATAGAGGGCAGAGGACTGCATATTCCCTCGACTCCAGCCTTGGTTAGACAAGAGCTAGACACCAACCTGTACCGCTGTATGACTACAGAGAGATTTTAGGATTTTCCCCCATTAAAATCACCAGACAACACAGTTCAGCATTTCCCCCTGAGCTTTTTGTAATCTGAGATATTTCCATGACTCTAATTTTGTCCAGACTCGGTATGAGTATATGTACGGTGTTCAAACATCCCCATGGAAGGTCAGAGATTTGAGAACTGGCAAGGACCCAAATATTGGGTTTGATGTTAATCTCTCCCCATAGACTGCATGAATTACTCTCTTTTTTCCAGTCTTTAAGAGTGTGAAACAATGGGAGGTGGGGACTGCTGTTGCTATGGTACAATGAGGCTCTTCTGATCATACGTGTCCCTGAGGAAGCTTGCTATGAAACAGATTGTCTAGGTCTCTCTTACAGAGTAATCGGGTGACTGAGAAAGTATGAGACCACTTTCTTCAGCCTATCACAATATTCTGTTTTTTCAGGCTCCACCCACAACTGTATCTCCAACAGTAGTACAAAAACTTTCCCAGTTTGCCAAGAGCTGGCACACATTCTGAGTGGAATAAATCAGCATAGCTCCATTGATGCTGTTTTACCCAGTATGATGTATTATTTTTGATCTGATGTTGAAGGGACAGGGATACTGAGAGATTAAAGTGACAGAACATAAAAGTGACACAAAATCCGTCCCAAAACTAGCAATAAACCCCAAAACTCCCGATGATCACCTGCCTTAAACTCTTATCATGAGATCGCCTCTGAAGTTTTCTCATTCAGGGTCCTCCATTTGATTGTTGAAAAATCCTGGCTTTTAGTAGCCACCCAGCTGTGGATTATATTCTCCTAACCATGCTATATATAGAACAATTTAATTTAATATTCAGAGCTTTTTTTACATTATTCAGAGCTTTTTTTATATTATTAAAGAAAATTATACTGAAGTGTAATATGCTTAAGAAAAATATTGTGAATTGTTTTTATTTCACATTGTGATACCACAAAGACAGAATATCAATGAGCTTCTCTACACATTTAAGTGGTTAAAATAGACCAAGCTCATACTATCACTTTTGTATCTGAATGCTCATAAAACACTTCTTTTTCATATCTGGGGCTCTCTTTGTTCAGTGCCTTTTTTTCCTCAATAATTCATATCTTCTATACCACTATGTCATAAAAAAAAGGAGGATTACAGTCTTCTCTACAAAAAGACTTGTCTGCAGCTCTTCCACAAAGAAAACTTTGTATATCCCTGTAGTTTCATTTGATGTTTTTAACTCATTCGTATTTCACTGATTTGTAGGAAGTAACAAAACAGTACAATAATATGGCTGTTTGTAACACAGGCATCTTACTGCCTTTAATTAGGCCCATTAACAGGAATGAGGATTAGAGGTCATGCACTAATGGGGAAAAAAAATCCACATATTTTAACCACCTTTTCGTTAGCAAAGCAGTTGTGCAAAAAAAAAAAAAGATCTCTCATCTCTCAGCCAACAATCTTCATGCCCTCTCTGGAAATTGATCAGGATGGATATTTATAGTTCCTGCTAGTACTGTATTAATCTTGGATACTATCCTCCTAGCACTGAGATGCATACCCCATTAGTCTTTCTCTTCCTACGTGAGATTTCCTTAACAGGGCAACTGCAATGTCAAAATTTCTGCCAAGGTTAGAGAAAAAAAATGCAGTTTCTGAAATGCTGCAGCTCCTGTAGTACCAGCCCACTACTACATCCGACCAGAGATTTTTCCAGCCCTATGGTTCAGCCCTACTTTGTAAAAGCTTCATCTATTCATCATTTCAGCTACTTGCTTCTGCAGTCAGCCTCAGATTGAGCCGTAGTGGACTCATACAAATCTTGAATTCAATGGGAAAGTCATTTGACTTGGGCATAATTCATTGCACAATAAAGGATAATCAGGACTTCCCAGGCTCCTGTTATCTACACTGCCAAAAGCTTGCAACCTGCAGATGGCAAGGCACCTGGATCTTAAATCAGCCCAGTGTCCTATTGCACAGTAACCCCAACAGAAACACCTGGCATCGTTTCCCTGGAATATAATACATTGTGGAAAGCCTCCTCTCTACACCAGAAAACAAATTCTAAGAGCCCAGGCCCTCATGCACAGCACCTAGACTCGAAGCTGCTCACCTGCCACGAAGTCACCGAAGCCAACAGTAGTCAGAGTGACAACCACAAAATAGATGGACTCCAAGGCTGTCCATCCCTCGATGTGTTTGAAGATCACTGCAGGAATGGTCACAAAGACAATGCAGCCTGCCAGGATGAAGAGGATGGTAGAGATCACCCGGATCTTTGTTTGACTCACTTGCTTCTTCTAGAAAAAGGAAATAACAAAAGAAAAAAAAATTGAGTGGATTTCTGGGACTGTATTCCTTGTGAATGGCAGACTGATCATGCTGGCGTCACCTGGTATGTCTCTTTCTGCCTTTTGTGAGCTTATTAGGTGGAATACAACCCTCCCTCCCCATTAGTAACAGCCCTGCCCAGGTGTCGTGGTTTACGCACCAGGTAATAGTGAACCTCTATGTCTGGCCCCAGAAAACTGATTCCCATTTTCCATGCACTAGGCAGTTACTAACCTACCAGAAACACAGCCTGGAAAAACAGTCCTGAGTTTCAGAAAGGTTCCAGTACACTCCAGTTCAGGTTCAACGTGTAAGAAAAAGTGCACATCTACACCTCCATACATGTGTATGTACACCCACGTTGCCTAACCAGCATCCAGCATTCAACAAGCAAGACCAAGACTAAAATAAAAATAACCCCTTTTTTTTTTTTTCTCTAAAACATGAGTTTTTATGTAGAAGTAATTCATGCTTTGGGTTTTCTAGACTCAGGATTTCCAGCTCTCGTTCACAAATATGAAGGTTAAATCTTCTTTTCAAAACCAGATAGGTATGTTATCAGTTTACTCAAGAAATAAAGGATTTATGTCAAATACCAAACAATCTGAGATAAAATTACCTACGTAAATCCACACTGAAAAGCTCCTGAACAAAGGTTATGTGTGTTACTGGCTGCTATAAACTGGATACAAATATAAGCAGTGTAATTGCAACATTTTACACCCCTAGGTCATATAAACTCTCAATTTATGTAATATGAACTTAGATTTTGTTTCCAGTAATGTTGATGCAAACCTGGATTCACACAACTGACAGATTTATTTCTGGCAGATTTATTTCAGGTTTTCTCTGCTGTAAATACACTGAAAATTCAATAGAGTTCCACGAGAAACCTGGAAATTACTAGAAATCTTACTGTGGATTAATTACAGTGGCAGTGTAAATTCTGTATTTATCCTGGAAAAGGAATGTGGAGGTCACTGTAAGTCACACGTTTTCAAATTAGTTTTCCAAATCAAGCATCTCCCGTAACCCAGAAATGAGATCACATTTCAGATTAGGACATGGCCTAGACAGGAAATAAGGTCTCAGAAGTTATCTTTATAATATACAGAAGGGATATTGCCTGAACTGGTTAATATCTAGCCAGCTTGTGAGCAGCACTACTGCTTCCACTAAAGCATGAGCATTTCTTTTAGAGGTGCAATGTCAGACCCTCATTAGGCACTCATCTGATCTGGGATGCTCTGCATTTGGAAACCAGGTAGCAGCATAAATATAACATGTTTCATAAATACTTGTAGTTCTGAAACTGTTTGAGAAGATCCCTTCGCTTCATTTTTTTCTTTTTGTGTGTGTGCATTGTTTTCTGTGTCTGGCTGAACGGAAATACTTAAGTAGGATTAGTAATATAATGCAATAAGATTAATCAAATACAGGACATGGGAAAATGCCACTGAAGTACCAATGAGAAAAACAACACAAGAATATAAAACCTGACTTGACTTCTTATTTCCTCTTTTTCTGGAGAGTCACTTTGAGCAATTTGCTAAAATACTACAGGATGATCTAGCTCCTTCAAGAGGTAAAGACACACATTCACAATGGCAGGATTTCAGACTTACTGTATGCGTGGTGAAGGGAAAGCAGCTGATCCCGTGGCTGTTACGTGGTGGTTTAGGTTGCACACTTGCTTTTTGTCATAGAGGATGAGGATTTAACCAAGTTGGTTTTTATTTACTAGTTTGGCCAGGGTGACTTGTTCACTTCTACTAAATGCTTCAGTTTCCTGACACGTAAAAATGAAATGGCAGGCACCTTACTACAGTGGAAGTTAGGAGGGGTGTGCAGTGCTGTATAGCACGGGGAATCCTTGGACAAAAAGTACTTTGGAGCTGCCAAGCACTGGTAGCAAAGCAAAGTTATGCATAGTAATCCTTCCTCCAATCCCCACACAGCAACATTAAAATGCATTTCAATATGTCAGGATAGTCTTGTCTCATGGTAGAAACAGCAGTGGAAAGAATGGCCTGCAAATCAGTACCAAATGTTCAGGACATCCATTTGTTCATGAGTGATAAATTCAACCAAAAGTTGTTGGGTTTTTTTAAGTAAAAATGGTAAGGCTGTTAATGAGAGGATCTGCAGGAAGGCCTGACTCATAGTTGTGCACCTCAGTCACTCACACAAAAGCAGAGCAGCTAAGGGTCTATTTTTTCTTACTCTTCCACTGGTACGAATGAAGTCAGAAAGCAATGGTGAATCAGGCACGGCATTTTTAGAGCTACTGAAAAGAGCACAAAGGCAAGACTCAGAAGTAGAATTACTTAACGCTGGAATGGAGCATAAAGGAATACTAGCCACACCAGCCAGTAAATTAACTTCCTTGGGGGCCCAACTTAAATACCTCCATGGGAACGCACGTAGCATAGGGAATAAACAAGAGGAGTTAGAAATGTGCACACACCTGCAGGGCTAGGATCTTATTGGAATCATGGAGACGTGGTAGGATGGCTCCTATGACTGGAGGTTGGAATGGAAGAATAAAGGCTCTTCAGGAAGGAGAGGCAGGGGAGACAAGGAGGGGATGTCACCCTCAATGTCAATGACTAGCTGGAGTGTATGGAGCTCTGCCTGGGGATGGGATGAGGAGCAGACTGAGAGCTTATGGGTGAGGATTAAAGGGAAGTCAGGGACAGATGATGTTACAGTGGGGGTCTGCTACAGGCCACCTGACCAGGAAGACCGAGCAGATGAGGCCCCCTATAGGCAGACAAGAGCAGCCTCATGTTCACAAGCCCTGGTCCTCATGGGGGACTTCAATCACACCAATATCTGTTGGAGGGACAACACAGCAAGGCATAAACAATCCAGGAGGTTCCTGGAATGCATTGATGAAAACCTTCTCCAAGTGATAGAGGAGCCAACAAGGCGTGGTGCCATGCTGGACCTTGTTCTCACCAACCAGGAGGGGCTGTTGGGAAATGTGAAGCTCAAGGGCAGCCTTGGCTGCAGTGACGATGAGTAGAGTAGAGTTCAGGATCCTTAGGGTGGTGAAAAGGGTGCACAGTTAGCTCGCTACCCTGGACTTCAGGAGAGCAGACTTCGGCTTCTTCAGGGATCTGCTTGGCAGAGTACCATGGGATAAAGCCTTGGAGGGAAGAGGGACCCAAGAAAGCTGGTTAATATTCAAGGATCACCTCCTCCAAGCTAAGGAGTGACGCATCCCCTCAAGAAGAACTTGGGAGTGTTTGTTGATGAGAAGCTCAACAAGAGCCATCAATGTGCGCCTGCAGCCCAGAAAGACAACTTGCATCCTGGGCTGCATCAAAAGAAGCATGGCCAGCAGGTCAAGGGAGGTGATTCTCCCCTTCTACTCTACTCTCGTGAGACCCCACCTGGAGTGCTTCTAGGGCCCCCAACAGAAGACGGACATGGACTTGTTGGAATGAGTCCAGAGGAAGGCCACAAAGATGATCAGAGGTCTAGAGCACTTCTCCTATGAGGACAGGCTGAGAGAGCTGGAGTTGTTCAGCCTGGAGAAGAAAAGGCTCCAGGGAGACCTTATAGCAGCCTTCCAGTACCTGAAGGGTGCCTACAGGAAGGATGGGGTTATCAGGGAGCGTAGTGATAGGACAAGGGGTAACGGTTTTAAACTGAAAGAGGGGAGATTTAGGTTAGGTATTAGGACGAAATTCTTTACTGTCCATGTGGTGAGACACTGGAACAGGTTGCCCAGAGAAGTTGTGGATGCCCCATCCCTGTAGGGATTCAAGGCCAGGCTGAATGGGGCTTTGAGCAACCTGGTCTAGCAGGAGGTGTCCCTGCCCATGGCAGGGGGTTTAGAACTAGATGATCTTTAAGGTCCCTTCCAACCTAAACCATTCTATGATTCTATGACAATAACACAAGAAATTCAGGATATAAGTGAAAAGGGGAGTCTTCTTACAGTTATACATGCATTCAGAGGACGTTAACAGTAGAGTGTAACTGCCATAGATCCAAAAAAATGCTAAGGCATAAATGTCATTATTCACGGAGTATATAAATTGTAGTAATCACACATTACAAAAAGGTCAGTTTGCATGGGTTTTCTTTGCAGATGGAGTTGACCTTGCTGTTTTACGACAAAGAACATCGGTTTTTGCTGCCCGGATTCTCAGGAATAAGGAAACACAGCCTTATGTTCCAGTTTTGGCACAGTTGTATCAAGATGAGACTAGATTAGCCTAAGCCACTGTGGTATTACACTGCACCAAGTTCTTATTAAAAGAGATAAATATATATATAACACTATATATAAATATAACATTGAAGTTTGAGAAATCTGAAAAGGTTCATACAAACTTCTCTTTTAAATAGTATTTACAGTCTGGAGCCAAACACTGCAAAGAGCTGAGCAACTCCAGCCAGGCTAACACATCCTCTGAGCCCATTTTGTGGCATAAATGCATAATTTTCTATAGGTGTCAAAATGAAACAGTAAGAGAGGCCTTTCTCCAGGAAAAGAAGTTCATCTCATAGCAGTTTAAGTAAAATGAAAACACTTTTTAAAGAGATATTTTCTAATTATTTTTTTAGTTTTGTTTTACCAACGACTCTCTCCACATTGATGAAGCAGATAATTTGTAAGACACTCACAAATATAAATAAATTAGTGCCTACTAATGAGAGAGACATCCATCTAGAGCTAATCTGGAAAAGATTAAAGGAAGAATCTAAGAAGAAAAGAACGGAGAGTTTTCCGTGATATAACCACCTATGAGGAGTCATTTGCATTTACTAATCAAGGTGCTGATTTTACTCTTACGGTGGCTAAGTGCTAAACAGGCAACATCACTGACATCATCTTGTTCATATTAATTCGAACAACCTCCTGTCAACCTGCTCTAGTGCCCAGAGGGGTGAGGACAGATATTTTCATGAAAACATTATGCATCTTTTCCATCAATAATTGTGACCTGCTTTT